AATAGCCGGCTTAATGCGAAACAGCTGGTCCCTTATAATAGCTAGTTTATTACGAAACAACAACTATGCTGCCGCTAGTAGCGCTAGCAACGACAACGCTAGTAGCATAGTGCCTACTAAAGTGCCTCCTACTAAAGAGCCTGCCGGAGAGCCTATTAAAGAAGAACCTATAATTCTAGGTAATAATCTAGAATTGCCTGTCGACGATATTCTTAATAATATTATTAACCGTCGATATAGCTAACTAGCCTTTAGCCCCTAACTAGTAGGGAGACTCTAAGAAGCTACCTGAAACAGGCTTACTGCCCTACGTTAAGAACAATAGCTAAAGGATAACCTCCTCGAAATTCGCCGCCTTTAGGAAGCCCTAATAACTAATACTAAGCCGATAGTAGGGCCTTCCTTACTATTAGTCCTAGTCTAGAAGAAGGATGCTAAACTTAAGGACTGTACCGTGTTTAATAGCTCTAGTCGAAAGCAATACAACGACTACATTCGTAACTATAAGCTTAACTAACGAAATGCACTAAGGGCCCTACTAGACGACTATTCGCTAGTCGTCTATGCTATGCAATACATTAATAGAGACCTAAAGCGTACCTAGGATAACCACTTTAACTCCCTTACTAATTAGACCGCTATTTAGTAGTAAACCTACAAAACCATTATGCTAGACACCCTTAGAAACCCTATACTAAGGCAACAATACGCTTAGGACTAGTACCTTCGGGCTAAGCAAAAGACTAATTAATTAGCCCGTTTATTTAAGGCCTATTTAAAGACCCTCGAGGACGATTTGCTAGCTAAGACCGACTCTATCTAGATTTCCGAAATACGCCCTAAATTGCGATAGGAATTAGTCCTTAAATTAGACCGCCGCCGTGTGTTTAAACAGGCTAATCTTATATGTATTTAATTTATAGTCGAAGTCGAAACTGCTAAACGAGCTGTCTAGCTCTAGCAACGACTAGAATTAGGGATCCGACCTACTAGCAACCGTAGCAACCGTAGCCGCGGAGGAAATCAAGGTTCCTACTAAGACAATAACGCTAACAATAGGAATAGTAACAACGACCGTAGAAGAAGCCGTAGCCGGCGGCTATATAGAGGAGGCCGTAATAGGGGCCGTAGAAGGGGCTCGTATCCCTATAGTACTAATCGCTCGGCTAATAACAGCGGCAATAGCTATAGCAATCCCCTAACCGGACTAAAGTGCTTTAATTGTAACAGCACTAGCTATCTACTAGGCTAATGCGACAAACCTAAGGACTAGGCCCGAATCGACCGTACTGCCGCTAAACACCGAAAGTACCTTTTAGTAGCTAACGCTACCCCTATAGGCTAACCTTCGAAAAAAGAGTAAGCGCCGCACTAACTGTTAGCCTTATACGGCGTAAGACTATTAACATTGTGCTAGCTATTATACGTACCTGTCTCGTATCGGATACGTATAGGACTAACTATAAGACTAAGGTTATACTAGATCTAGGAAATTCAGTTAGTACCCTTATTAGCTATCGCCTAGCTAAGCAATTAGACCTTCGACAACTGCCTAGGACTAACCTACTAACCCTTGCTTAGTTTAATAACGCTCGGCACTTGACCTACGGAGCCTACTATATCTATATAGCCCTAAGAGACGACCTCAGTAATAAGCGCCTGCTAAACTTTACTGCCTACGTAGTAGATATAAACAGCCTCCTATCTAAGATTGTTATTAGCAACCCTGTTCTTAAGTACTATGCTATAGTTATAGACTTAGGCAGTTAATAGTAGCGATTTAGAATCGCTAGGAAAGAGGATATTAAACACATCGATATTAGCGAGTGCCCTAACGATATTAGGGTTCTATTTATCGGCAACCTAATACCTGCCGTAGCTAACCTAATAGTCGACCTATTAGGCGATAACGATAAGCCTATGCCCCCTAATAGCATAGACCCTAATTAGCTTGCTCGTATACCGGAGCCTATTCGAGAAACCTATATTAATGTGTTTAAACACCACTTAGTATCGACATTGCCTATGTTTAAAGAGACGGATTATAAGATTAATATTATAGCGGGCAAGGAGGTCCCTTTTAGCCCCCTCTACAACCTTAGTAAACGAGAGCTTGCTATATTGCGTAAGTACCTAGAGGAAAACCTAGCTAATAGTCGCATTCGGTATAGTAACAGCCCTACTAGCGCCCCTATCCTGTTCGTACTAAAGAAGGATAGTAGCCTACGTCTATATATTAATTATCGTAGGCTTAACGCTATTACTATTAAAGACCGCTGCCCACTTCCTCTTATTAATAAGACCCTCGATCGCCTTTCTAGTACTTATTACTACACTATATTAGACATTAAGGACGCCTATTACCGCATCCGTATCCGCAAGGGCGATAAATAGAAGATAGCCTTTCGCACTCGTTATAGGCATTTCGAGTACTTAGTTATGCTATTCGGCTTAGCTAATGCCCCTATAACGTTCTAGTCCTATATTAATCGGGCCCTTTCGGGCCTATTAGATCACCTTTGTGTAGTTTACCTAGATAACATCCTAGTTTATATACACTCTCCTAACATTGCGGAATACTAGGCTATAGTCCGTAAGGTACTCGATCGCCTAAGGGCCTATAGCTTATACTACAAACTCTCTAAATACACCTTTGCTACTAAAGAGGTGTCCTTCCTTAGCTTCCTCGTATTAACCGAGGGTATTAAGGCTAATCCTAATTAGATTAAAACTATTACTAAATAGCCCGTTCCTACGTTAATTAAGGAGCTGTAGTCGTTCCTCGGTTTTGCTAACTTCTATCGCCGATTTATTAAGGGCTATTCGAGGCATGTAATGCTACTAACTAAACTTACTAAAACTAAGGCTAACCCGACTAGAGAGTTTAAATAGACTAACAAAGCGCGAGCCGCTTTTAACGGTTTAAAGCAGCGCTTTACTAAAGTCCCCTTATTATACTATTTCGTACTAAACAAGCAGATCCGAATTAAGACTAACGCTTTACAGTTCGCTATATCGGCTATTATATCCTAGCAATCAGATAATAACTATTACTAGCACCCGATTGCCTTCTTCTCGAGGAAGATAATCGATACTAAGCGTCGCTACGAGACCTACGAGCAAGAGCTCTTAGCTATTATCGAGGCCTTTAAGTATTAGAGGCATTACCTCGATAGGGCCTAATATACGATATAGGTCTATATAGACTATAACAACCTCCGTAGTATTACTAAGGTTACTAGAGTTATAGGTCGATAGGCTAGATAGGCCGTCTACCTCGCTAGGTTTGATTTTAATATATTATATTAGCTAGGCGTAAGCAACCCTGCTAATAGCCTATCGAGGCGACCTAATTACGATAGCGGGACTTAGTAATCCATCAATTCATTGTTTCTAACCCTATAGCATAAGATTGCTATAGCCCGTATTGTTAATAAGCAAGCGTAGAATAAGCGGCTTACCGGACTCCGCGACGGCTTAAAGCATATTAATACTCTTGCTATATTAACAGTACGTATTAAGGTAAGGGCTAAGGACATAGATAGGAGAAGTTATAATAACTCCCTAGTCGACATCGTAATATATAGTAACAGCGATAGCACTAATGCAGTTAATCCGGCTACTAGTGCTATTAGATACATATAATACGTACCTCGTTTAATAGCGAGGGTGCTATTAAATAACCTTGCAAATAGGGATAGTTAATCGTTTATAGATAAGCTGTTACGGGCTTAGTAGAGGGACGCCTTTACTGCTAAACGTATAGACAAGCTTATAAGTAGGCGAAAGACTCGATCTAGTAAGAGTAATTAGTCGATCGACGACAAAGGTTACTTAAGGTTTAAGGGTAGATACTATGTCCCCGCTAAACAATCGATTAGACAAGAACTTCTTAAG